CTTTTGACTTCCCTTGCGGTACTATTGAACGATGGTAGTGTATTAGGTTCGGGACAGCTGTGTTGTTACAATCCAGCTAGGATCGGCTCTTGGGAGTGCTTCCCTGATAGTGATGACGCTGGCGAAGATTCGGTTGAAGAAGAGAGTTCTCAGCAAGCTAATGCTTAGCAGTTTTTCAGGTGTTGAAAATTTATTATTGTGTATGTTCACCTAGTCGAGGTTACTGTTCCTGATGTATGCAAGGAGACTATCAAATGTAGTTGTTGGGAGTTGAGTTTGGCTCTTTGAATGGATCCGGATCTACTGATATGCTACGATTGGCAGCGTGGGGGAAAGAGTATAAGGAGCTATGCTTTTGATGGATCGAACTGTCAATTCCGGAAAAAATATCTCTGGGAGTCGACGGCCTTCAGTTGATCGAACGCGACAAGCCGTAGTGTCATAGTTGGAGCCAGTATCGGTCTTTTACGAGGAGATCGATACTGAGCTCAATTAGTACGAGAAGCGATTTCTTCACACGCACCAAGACAGCGGGCAACCTCGGCCGTAGAAGACTGATGTACACGAAGTTTCGATGGCTGGGCTATCGGTACGATCATGTCATCTTGTGCGTTCGTTGTCGAGCGAAGAATCATCAATTTTTTAAGACGATTTTTCTTATCCCACTTGCCACAGTTGAGGGATTTTCTGTTGGTTTTGGCCAATGCAAAATGCGGAGTTGGCATAGCCGATGGGATATACAGTGTGTAGTGGTGAATCATTTCTGAGATTCTTCTCACAGTATGGTATGTGTTATCATACCATGATGAGAGATGTCCAAGGGGATGGCAACCGAGGCGATGAACGATGTTTACAGCTCGTGATCTACTATCCTGTCCTGATATGAAGTAATACACATTGATGGTGGATGGAGAGTAACTCGACACAAGTTCGTTGATGGAGACTCGGTGAGCTTTATCGGCTATGTCTAATAGGGAGGGAACAAACAAAGTTTGCCGCTGGGTTTTTCGATTAGTTTACACTTAGCCCCTGCAGGGCAGTCCTGAGGGAACGTCAAATTTCATGTCATCATCGGAACAGACTCCGTTACCGTGTCGAGATTGCACGCAATGGAGCATCCTGGGAATGGTTGGCACTGGGCCCACTTAGTAGGAGGTTTCGGACAGGTGGTCGCATTGGCGCACTTCGTCGTACACATCACACCATAGAGGATCCCAAATTCATCCTGAAAAAGATGAGCTCGGTCGAGACTCTGAGTATGAACAAGCTTACTGCAAAGGCGAGGAAGCCGTTGGTGTTGCACTTGCATCCAACCAGATGGCTATCGTATACGTTACAGTAACCGATGGGCCTCTCATATTGGCCTCCACCTACAATGGAGAGCATGCACCGTTGTATCGAACTGCCACTCACGTTGTTCGGCTACGCCTACGGAGTCGGCTGTCGAAATGGCATTTGCTCTGAAAGGTATGCATACTAGTCCAGCTCTTCTCACACGGCCTACCTCTGGATCTTGACATCAGCTAAGGCGACACTGAAGTAGAATATATGCAGGAAGGCGATGCGGCCGGCCATTGTTGGTAGAAAATATGTGAGACGCGAAGGCTAACTTCCAGCTCTAGGTGAGAGCATAGCGTAAAGAGTCCTCAAATGTTTTAGGGTCTAATATACGGCGTATTTCACACGCGTGCACCTGAGTGGCGTGTGGACGGATCCAGTCGAAGACTTCGACTCGAAGTCATGATCGAGTCGTCGCTTGATACTCAAGGTGGTCGATGCTAGTAACTCTGACAGCACAATCCCAGAGGTTGATACGAGTATCAGATAGTACTGCAGCTTCAATCGACCAGGTTGGAAGGAATGCCAAAAACAATCTTCTAGAGGATTCACGAAAAACTCTGAATGTGATCGATCGTTTGATGCATGCACACGTGAGCTCCTCAGTGCTGTCTGTCTGTCTATCTGTTTACTTCGCAAAAGCAGGGGGCGAAGATGCACCCGCGAAGAGTAAAACAGTAGTGAAATATACATCTCACTTTTTACTAGTAGTGAATCTCGCGTAGTGATTCACTAGGCGGAATTCCCACGAACTCTATCAACTTCGCGTAGATCTTGGTCCTTGTGCTTCCCTCCAGTGTAGTACTTGGATTAATCAGCCGTGGAGCATCTACCGTAAAATACTCGCGTTTTTCAAATCAAATTGGCACGCAGTGTAGTCCCAAGTCGTTTGGGTTAGTGCGTATATCAACATTGCATCGCAATTTGAACAGCTCTATGACGTCGTTTAGGAGCAACGTCCTCGTCAGGTCCTGCACTACCGTCGTACAGCAAGTTCAATCGGCGGCGACCACTTTCGAGTCAAGCATCAGGTTTTAGACCTCGTCGAATCATCCTGGTAAGAACAAGTCGTCCTCTGTCGGCGGGGTGACCTCATGCTAGTGCAGGTTCGCCACGGAGAGAGCATGGGGAATATAGACGAACATACGTAGTACAGTAGATTTTTCTCACAGTATGGTATGTGTTATCATACCATGATGAGAGATGTCCAAGGGGATGGCAACCGAGGCGATGAACGATGTTTACAGCTCGTGATCTACTATCCTGTCCTGATATGAAGTAATACACATTGATGGTGGATAGAGAGTAACTCGACACAAGTTCGTTGATGGAGGGTCGGTGAGCTTTATCGGGTGAGTTGAAAAGAAAAATTGAATCGCCCCAAGAATAATCCATCTACCAGAAATGGGAGATAATCTCCAAGTGAAATACTCATCATGAAAAGTGATCTGGCTGAAGAAGTCACTGACTTCTTCTAAGCTAGAAGCTCTAACTGACTTCAAGTCAGTTAGGGAACAAACAAAGTTTGCCTCGGGGTTCTTCGATCAGTTGACACACAGCTCCTGCAGGGCAGTCCTGAGGGAACGTTGAATTTCATGTCACCATCGGAGCAGACTCCATCACCGTGTCGAGATTGCACGCAATAGAGCATCCTCCGTATGGTTGGCACTGGGCCCACTTAGTAGGAGGTTTCGGACAGGTGGTCGCATTAGTGCACTTCGTCGTACACATCACACCTTTGACCACCGCAAATTCATCCTGAGAGAGAGCTCGGTCGAGACTCTGAGTGTGAACAAGCTCACTGCATAGAAGAGCACATCGTCGGTATTGCATTTGCATCCAACCAGATTAGAACCGGATAAGTAACAGTCACCCTGACCGATGGGTTTTTCATATTGGCCTCCAACTACAATGGAGAGCATGCACCGTTGTATCGAACTGCCACTCACGTTGTTCGGCTACGCCTACGGAGTCGGCTGTCGAAATGGCATTTGCTCTGGAAGGTATGCATACTAGTCCAGCCCTTCTCACACGGCCTACCTCTGGATCTTGATGTCAGCTAAGGCGACACTGAAGTAGAATATATGCAGGAAGGCGATGCGACCGGCCATTGTTGGTAGAAAATATGTGAGACGCGAAGGCTAACTTCCAACTCTAGGTGAGAGCATAGCGTGAAGAGTCCTCAAATGTTTTGGGGTCTAACATACGGCATATTTCACACGCGTGCACCTGAGTGACGTGTGGGCGGATCCAGTCGAAGACTTCGACTCGAAGTCATGATAGAGTCGTCGCTTGATACTCAAGGTGGTCGATGCTAGTAACTCTGACAGCACAATCCCAGAGGTTGATACGAGTATCAGATAGTACTGCAGCTTCAATCGACCAGGTTGAAAGGAATGCCAAAAACAATCTTCTAGAGGATTCACGAAAAACTCTGGGCCCTGTAACAGCGTCCCATGTGATCGATCGTTCGATGTATGCACACGTGAGCTACACTTAGCTGTCTGTCCGTCTGTCTGTCTATCTATCTGTTTACTTAAAAGCAAAAGCAGGGGTCGAAGATGCACCCGCGAAGAGTAAAACAGTAGTCCAATATACATCTCACTTTTTACTAGTAGTGAATCTCGCGTAGTGATTCACTACGCGGAATTCCCATAAACTTTACGAACTCCGCGTAGATCTTGATCCTTGTGCTTCACTGAGTGAAGCACTGACCCACGTCAAGTGAAGTTCACTCCAGTGTAGTACGTGGATTAGTCACCCGTGGAGCACATCCCGTCAAATATTCCCAAGGAAGGCTTCCCTTGGTGAGTCAGCCTTTGGTCTTGCGGGCAACCTAACACCCATTCCACTCAGCATATCTTAACAGGCCACTCAAACTCCAGTTTGCTCGTTCTCAGTATAATCAAAATTAATTAGCTTAGGGCTTGCGCCTCAAACACGCTGGAGTCTCGGGGGCAAGTCATTGCGCCGCCGGACACTCCTGCCTCCGGGAGTCTACTGCACTTTATGTTTGGAATATCAAAGCTTTTCAGGAATAATCTTCCCGCTATGTTACTCGCATGTGTAGCAAAGAACGGGTTTTACACTTCGTATTTCACGAATTTCACGCGGAAACAATTACGCGGTTTACACGCAATGGCGATTTTCACTGGCGTTTTTTAGCGTGTGAAATCTATTATTCACTAAGTGAATTTCACCTGGCCCAATTCACGTTGTACACTAGGCATAGAACTGTATGCGGGTGTACACGTTATACGTGGCGTCTCCAGTGTACGGAACTTGCAGTTCATATCTTTCTCCATTTGAAATGGAGAAATGGACCATTTCGTACAATTGACCCGAGTGTTTAATTTACCGATATTGCTGGACCCCTGAGCCCCGAGCAGCTCGATGTCACTCCGACCCAACATATCGGCGGCCCTTCAAGGGCCGCCCTTGCCATAGTCGATCACCAGTGACTCAATAGTGCCGAATTCATGGGCTGAAATGCGAGTCCCAGCTTACGTTTATCTCTCTATCTCGGGTGCACAGTGCCATGACAGAGTTTTCTCATTGCTTGGAGTACCTCTTCTCAGCGTGTTGACGACCAACCCGATCACAAGGATTGTGACGCCCGTCTCCTCAGAGCGATCAATGTGATCGCTATGCCCATCGCCCATCACAGCTTCTCGCCTGGCCGTCGTTCTACCGTTGGCGATTTGGTAAATTAAGATTACTGATATTACAGGCTGTGCTCTCTCTCGAGAACTGTTACATTGTTCCCACCGTAAGAGTCTTATAGAGTCTGTAATACAGACGCCGACGAGACTAGAGGGACTCAAAGTTTGAGGCTCAAACTAACAATGATTCCTCTGTTGGGGAACGGGTTGTACAAGAATTCCGATCACAACAACAGTTACTACGACTATAACCCGCATAATAACTTTTCTCGGCAGCCGTGCAACTCAGTGAACACAACAATTGGGAGACTAGGAAAAACCGGTATCTAAGGAGAATTTCCCGCAATTACCATGCTCCGGACGACTCAACTACAGCTGCTGCCAACAACGAGGCGGAGGGTATATAGCGAAACCTCAGGTCCTGATATATACTACCGTTAGAATATCATCCAATATCATTACTTGGAGCGCAAGTAACGTTAACTACATTGTTGGAAACTAACCTCGAAACTGTCATAGCGGATGACTTCAGATTGGATCAACACCAAGATGGTTTTCGAATATCAGATTGTTCATGTTTCTTTGAGGTAACACAGTGGTGATACCATGCTACCCGGCTACAGCAAGAGCGAGGGAATCTTCTGCACAGATTGTCCCCTATTTAATGATGTACTTGAGTCATTTATATGTCGCCATTTTTCCAAGAAGAAAGGTCCTCTCTAAACGAGAGAATGAAGTTGAGAGGCATCCTGGGAGGGTGATCCCTTTCCTGATCGGAGACGGTGGATTACTTGAAGTCGCTTGCGTGTTCTTCTACTAAATGTCTATAGAGTTTGAAATGGTCAGTCGAGAGTGTCAAGATGAGCGCAGATCCTTTCAGTTCTGCGCACCCAATTCACCGAGTGCGGATCCTCTGAGCCTCCACACATGCAGGACTCGTACGTAATACGCAGTGCGTATGTTGGAGCTCAGAGGGAAGAATACGGATCGAGATGCTTGCACGCGGCATGACCAAATCACTGAGGGAGGAACTCGTTTACTCTCCCTACTATGATAAAACTAAAAACGGGTCGAAAGAGGACTTTGTCATTCCCATACCCCAAGCTATGGCCTCGAATGGTTGTTCTATCGTGCATGAAACTCGTGCCATGAAAAGAATGTTTGAATTGACACATGAGTTGACCTCAGCATTATTCCAGGCGGACGAGATTCATTGGTTCCACGCAATCGCTCGCCATATCAATGTCGAAATTAAAAAAAAAGCCACTTTTTTCGGGCGATATGGCACACAGTGAGAATGAGACTCCTCTCACCCTAAGATATCCTGAAAATAGGGCAAAGAAAGACAATTTCTAATAATTTCCTGTTCCTCCGAAATTTTCCGGAGGTATGGCTATTTCGGAAGATTTACTAGGAAAGAAGCAATAATTCTTTCCGATTCAACCATCCTGCATTGGAGGGTAGTGCCGGAGAGGTTGGTCCCGCAACGACGATCATATCGTTTCCCCTTTATCACCGACAAATGCTGGATGAACATCATAGGATAATAGCTCCCTCGGAAAAAGAGGCGGCAAAGAGGAGTAACCCATTGAGTGACTCAATTAGAGTCAACTACTGAGAACTCAATCGTGTTGAGGCCCTCAACTTGAGGGTAGTTACTGAGTTTTCAACACCGTTCGAGTCTTGCAGAACGACGTTCTACAACACCTACATCAACATCTACGCGTGCCTTTACACCGTGTAGGAGGCACGTAGAACTTCTAGGCTTCTATAATAGAAGCCTGAGGCGCGATCCTGTGCTTGCGGGCGGTTACCCTCCGCAATTGCGTCGCAGATTATATTTTCTCTCGGATTGAATCGCTGAGCTGAGCCAGCTCGTAGCTTGACTTGCAGAGTCTGCAATGCGGAGGTTCAGCCCGAGTTCTAAATCTCGTATTTTGGCGGCCCGAGGTAAAGGTTTCCACTTCAAGTTCGGTCGCATGTTTCGTACCTCTCAGCATGTGAGTAATCAGTTCAACCTCAAGATATAATTTACGAACTCAAACAAGTTAACATCGTCAATTGCCATATATACAGGCAATAACTGCGACTCGAGAGGAAGAGCCACTGAATTACGCCGTAATTATTACGGTTAGTTTCTATTCTCAGTTATATGCAACAACACAGACAGTCTCCTTATCAATACAAGCATAACTTCGCGGAGGAGCGGTATGCCCGCGTGCCCACGATTAATGAGCCGATACTATAGCTAGGCTAGCAATGACAATGACGACGACAACTCACACGAACTATGTAGTACGAAAATGTGTGAGAAACTGTCGATTCGCTCCGCTTACTGTAAATATAAACAGGAACATCAAAAACCGAGCCAGGAGGAATGATCGAAGCAGCTAGCCACAGTCAACGCATGTAGCGCGCGTGCCCAGCTGATCAACTTGTATGAATTTGGCGACATTGTTATTGGAGAATGGAAGAAACATAGCAGACACCAAAGACAACATATGTTATTTCGAAGAGCAATGGTATTATAGATATCTCTAACACTAATTATAATCGTCATAAGAGGGCAGGAATGTGTAAGCGCTGTATAACGGGTAGAATAACGGCCAAGTTCGCATCCTCCTCAGGAAAGTCTACCACAAAAACCGTAAAAAGCCAACTGACCTCTTCCCATTACCCGAAACTGTTCATCCCCCGATCCTCCCCGAATTGGTAACTGCAGCGTGTTGGACCCGCGAATACCTGAGAAATCGAACGCCTAAGAAAAAAGGCGATTTTGACCATCTATAGAACGTTTCGTGAACGCATCTACAACGGGAAAGACAACATAAACCCCTCGTTAACACACAGAGTGACGATTTTGCAGAGAATTCCCTATTATCACCGTCAGTCACAGAGAGCTCTTCATCGTATTCATCCAACTGTGCAAAATACGCGTCTCGTTCGAGTAACTCCGCGGTCTAAAACATATCTTAGGTTGTAGATTGCATGATTCAGATTAGGCCCACCTCAAGCCGTGTCGCGATCTCATCTTCTGACGTACTATCTTCCCGTGGGAAATCGATGATAGTTTTCCTAGAGCAATGTAGTAGCCTAAAAAATAATCATTGCATATCCTAGGCCACGACGGGTCATATTTACTTCGAGAAACCGTCTAAATCTACGCGGTGCGTTCGTTCCGCATCGAAACCAGCAGCCTCGAAGACACGCTCGAGCTCTCGCGCACTGCATGCTAAAATGCTCAAAAGATCTTCTTTCGTCACATATCTAACAACAAGAATAATAATTTCGTGGCGCGCGACAATTTATTACCCTTTCCTGCCAGCATCGAAGGCTTCGTATGCACTTTGAATATCTTCAGAGTTCCACCGCCAAACCATCGCG